TATAGCCTCATGCGGTGGCAAAATCTAGGTATTTTAGAAGGCGGGTTAAGATTTAATTCCCACTTCTTTGACTCCTTTTTTAAAAATGTTTGTTATTTTTTGTTAACGGTAAACCAGCAGGTCGTGGTTCCGTCTGTGTTATTGGGTAGTCAATAAACTATAAACCAAGTTTGGTTCCAATCGGTTCATTCACAGCCAAGTTAGAGGGGGGGGTGAAAAATTTCTGCCTTTGGTATAAAAAAACACTTTTCTGTAACACAAAATTACCTCACTGCGATAATACAAGTTCCGTATGAAATTTTGAACCTTTGTACACAAGTATAGTATAAATTAACGCACGTTGAAAAACAACACTAATTGGAGCACACCTTTTGACAAAGTGTTTTTGAAAACTCTAAATGGGATGTGTAAACCTCTTGGTTAATGCTTTGTAACATATCATTTCTAAAATAGTGTCATAAGAAATATTTCATTGTCAATGTCAGATATTGCGGTTCCGTGTAGTAACAGCGAGAATAGGATTGTCGTAAATTTGATAATCGTGGCCGTAGATGTCCTTTCGGTTTTTTGCAATTCATTGGTACTGTACCTGTGCTATAAACAAAAGTACACGCTAAAAAGTTATGGCAAAATTATAAATTTGACGGCTGTATTCAACATTTACCAAAGCGTTGTGGAGGCTGTTACTAATGTGGTAAGTATAGCAAGTTTACGCTTAGCCCACAATCCTAGCCCTGAGCATAAACCCCAAAACTAGGCCCAGTGCGCTAGCTCCACAACCTTAGCCCAAAACACTAACCATAAAGCCCTAGCTCCAGAGTCCTAGCTCACAGCCCTAGCCTAGAGCCCCAGATCTCCGGTCCCAGAGTCCTAGCCCCACCACCCATGTCGTGAAACCCTGTCCCCAAAGCCCTAGCTTTGATCTGCACTCTAGTCCAAACCCCGACTCGGCCGTAGGTTCAGGTCTAAAACGCCTGTCCCAGCCATAACATTAACCTTAGCCTTAAAAAATTATCTTATCATCTCACCTTAAACTTAATTTAGAAATCGACCAAAAGAGGATCATATATATGCTACTTTGCTGACACACCACTCCTTAGCAACGCCAATCCAACATTCCAGCAAACCGCATTGGTATTAAGATTTACCTCACTCTACATGTTAACATGTATACCATGTTTGCAATTTCATTTGCGTTACATGGTACTAAAAGAAAAGGCTATAACCGATTGTAGCATTCATACAAGGTTTGCTATAATAGCCATTTTTTGCGTTCTTTTTACTCTAACCAACTTTTATAACTTTGAAACCAATGACAACGTTGATCTCACCATTAGAGTATTTAAAAACGTCTCTGGATGCGACTTAGATGACATTAATTTGCCGACATTTGGCGCATTAAATCGCAAAAAGCTTAGTGTTAGAGTTTATGATGCTATTGCTCAGGCAATTCTAATTGGAAGTGGTGTTTTGATCACTTACTACAGTTTTGCTTCATGGTGGCATTTAAAAAAGCGGCTAAGTAAAATTTCGCCTTCAATGAATCGGCTGAACAAAGCTTTTATTACCGTATTAACTTTACAGGTAAGAGTGGAGTATTTTAGAGGGTAGGGAAAAATTTAAATAGCAAAACCTCTGCTCTGCCGCTTATGTTTAATTCGGCCGTACATAAGTTGAGGAACGTAAAAATAAAACGTATACAGTGAAATCTCTGTATAACCAATCGCTAGGGGAATTAAAATTTGTTTGTTATAAAGAGGTTTTGTTATAGAAAAATTTATAAGGAACAGTGTAATGATAACCGGGAATTCAAAAGTTGTCCGTTATACAAGGGATTCGTTATATAGAGGTTCCTTATACGGAAGTTCTACTGTACGTTAGGTTAACAAGTTGTAAAGGAATTACTTTTAACACTTTTAAACAGTGTTTCCTCAACTATTAAAACTCGTTTATAGGCTAGCCTTCCTTTGGTTTTCATAATAATTCCGGCTGTATTATTTTTGGCATGGACACCAACAAATTTTGCCGTATTTATAAACCACCTCAGTATGTTTGGCACAATACTAAGTCCAACATTGGACGCTGTGATTGTATTATTTGTTATACCGTCATTTCGAAGAAATCTGTGTTCAATATGTACTAAGCCTAGTAACACTATAGAGATACTGTCGTCTAATGTTAATAAGTAATATGAGTAAGTACACTTCATATATATATATAACGTAAATAAAATTTTTGAACTTTGTGTTTTTCTGTTGTTAGGAAAAAAATGTCAGATTTCGATGCTGGCGACGAAAAGACGCCTGGAGCAAAACGGAACAAAATATTGCTATTAAGTTTTACAGGGTGCGTAAAAAGTGGTGTTACCAGGTTTTTTAACCAAATATTTGTTTTAACAACAAATATAACTAAAACAACAACTAACAATAGTAACATGTAGTACTAGTTATAACATAGTCAATCGGTTTTGAATTGTTCCCCCTGTGCAGCTTGGCACAAGCGCAAACGCTTCAGAACGTTTTCAGCGACGGGCCGGAGCACCTCCGGTGACAGTTTGTCCTACTCTTCGGTGAATGCTTGTTTCAAAGACTCCAAAGTTTGGTGTCTTCTACAACAAGCCCTCATGTTTGACACCTAAATACAGACAGACGTTAGAAAGTTAAAACTTTTATGATTATACAATAAAAAAACCACAAAGAATAAGAAAATAAAAATTTTCAAATAATTTAACCGCAACATAGAGAAAACGACGGGTAAAGTTTGGTAACACCGCTTTTTACGCGCCCTGTATATCATTCAAAAGCCAAGGTTTTGGGTTAACGTTGGGTATGATTTTCATAGTTTTTTTTAATCTTGTACTTTCTTTACTTTGAGGTTTTAAACGTTGTTAGAAAGGACAAGTTGCACGCTATTTTTTATACGACGATAAACTGGGCCACAAAGCAATCGCAACAACCCGGAACATCACCATGACATTTAGCACTGGTACAGCGAAGGAACGCAACGTTTTGAATCGCTCATCCAGCAATTCAAAACTGGCGATTATACCCTTGAGAATCTGAAACTTCACGATGGGATTCTGAAGTCAGCAATTGAAGAAATAACTTATAAACAACATGAGAACATGCTAAAGATCATGTATTTAGCCATAAATGCTGATCAGTACCATCTGAATCATCTAAATTTAAATAAACAAGTACCATAAGCTATTGAAATCCGCCATTCTTTTCTTGACAACTTAATAGCTGATGCTTTGACTTTTAATGCGTTAAGATTGCTGTAAAGATGTATATTCAGTGTTTTGCCCGGACCGGAGCGTTTTTCACCGGTCCGGTCCGGCAATTTTCGGATCCGGTCCGGTCCTGTCCAAAGTTCTAACTTTTGGGCACGGTCCAGTCCAAACCCAAAATTTTGGGGGTCCGGTCCGCAAAAAAATTTTTTTTTAATTTTTAAAAAAAGCAAAGAGCACTAAAACTGCTTTCTTTACGTTTAAAAACACTTAAAAATATGTTTTCTTTGCAATTTTTAAAACAGTTTTGATAAATTAAAAAAAATTTCTTCCGAACCGGTCCGGAGCTTTTTTTTCGGTCCGGGTCCGCAGGTTTTTGGGTCCGAAAAAATTTTTGTTTCGGTCTGGCAAAACACTGTTTATATTATAATTCAAAGTTAATAAAAAAGTAAATTTGAATAAAATTTATTTAGTACTGCTTGACATCACCTCTAAACTATTGTTTGGATTCGTACAAAAGAATAAACGCAGTTGTTTTCGAAACGATGGTACAAAAAACAGCACAATCAATGCATCCCAAGCCGGGCTGGAAATGACTCCAAAAGCTACACAAATGTCTATAACCATTGTTGTGTCGGGTGGCAACCAAATAAGATATAAAAATGAAGGCGAAATTAGAAAAAGTATTGGCAAAGCAGCCTAAAACATAATTTAGGTTAATATACACTAGAAATGACACTGACTTTTTTCGGCTAGAACTAAAACAACGATTAGGTCTAAAACTAATATTCAAGCTCAAGCTCAAGCTCAATTTCAAGCTCAAACCCAAGCTCAAGCTCAAGCTTAAGCACAAGCTCAAGCTTAAGCACAAGCTCAAGCTTAAGCTTAAGCACAAGCTCAAGCTCCGGTTTGGACTTAGGCTCAGAGGCTTAGACTCAAAGCTCACAGTTATGTTTAATTTTAGGTTCATTCTTACTTCAGAGCTAAGACTAACAAGGGAATTAACTTAAATCGCTCCTCGACTTTGGGTCGAAACCTATATATTCTTAAAGCCCTGACTCACTGAGTACGGACCTGAAAACCGTTTTTCCTTATGGCTTTTAGTTTTCGAGAAAATCGACTTTAAAGTTTGACCGAATCCCCATAAGGAAAGCTCCAAGCAAAGGAAAAGTCTGTAAATACATGTATATGTGTTAAAAGTTACCTGTAAACTCAAGATTATATTAAAATCATTGTTCAATCGTCGCAATGAGGGCGATATTTGATGAACATGCAACTTTAAATGTCTCCATGTAGCGATACCATAATATACTAGCAGAACTACATTGGTTATCAAAAATAAAAACGAAATGCATTCAACAAACATTTCGTCTTCTCTAGACCGGTCCACTACAGAAAAGGTAGGCAAGGCACCGTCGGCTCCATCACATCCACTGACATTGTCAAATATAAGTTTCTGGTAGTAAACATTGCTTTCATAAACGAACATGTTGCTAGCACACAAAGCTATACTTATCAGTAGTATTGATATAAACTTAGTGTATATATTTTTGTCCGTAATTTTGTTTTTCTGAAGTATCTTGTAGCGTAAATGGAACTGTAAAGTAGGTAGAAATATCAACATGTAACAGGTGCTGAATCTTGCTGTTATCATCAGTTTTTGAATTGTTTCGCTAGTGTTTCTGAGTCGACTTGTGTCAGTAAAGTAGTAAATGTATGGCTTAATTGGTATAGCTTTCTGAAACCAAAAATTATCAAAAAAATGTTAGCCTTAGGCTTGGATGAACGATCGCAAACATAGGTTTTGTTTGAGTTTAGCCTTAGCTTTAGCTTTATCCTTAGCCTTAGCCGTAGCCTTAGCCGTAGCCTTAGCCGTAGCCTTAGCCGTAGCCTTAGCTGTAGCCGTTGCCTTAGCCGTAGCCTTAGCCGTAGCCGTAGCCGTAGCCTTAGCCGTAGCCTTAGCCGTAGCCGTAGTCGTAGCCTTAGCCGTAGCCTTAGACTTAGCCTTAGCCTTAGCCTTATCCTTAGCCTTAGCCTTAGCCTTAGCCTCAGCTTTAGCCTTAGCCTTAGCTTTAGCCTTAGCCTTAGCCTTAGCCTTAGCCATAGCCTTAGCCTTAGCCTTAGCCTTAGCCTTAGCCTTAGCCTTAGCCTTAGCCTTAGCCTTAGCCTTAGCCTTAGCCTTAGCCTTAGCCTTAGCCTTAGCCTTAGCCTTAGCCTTAGCCTTAGCCTTAGCCTTAGCCTTAGCCTTAGCCTTAGCCTTAGCCTTAGCCTTAGCCTTAGCCTTAGCCTTAGCTTTAGCCTTAGCCTTAACCTTAACCTTAGCCTTAATTTTAGCCTCAGCCTTGGTTTTAACATTACTTACCACGTTAGTATTAGCCTCCAGCAAACTTTGAAAAATGTTAAAGCCTGCTGTAAGGCCGATGATCTTGCCGTAGCTTTTTAGCTTGTTCTTTTGTTTGCAACACAAATACAGTACCAACGAATTACTGATAATAGAGGCGATATCAATCAAAACTGTCACCCAGTTTATCACTATTCTAGCCTTTTGCTACATGGAATAATTATGTATGACATTGAGGTATGTCTGTTTTTTATTTAAGAACACGGCTGACGGTATAAAGTCCACTAAGGTTAGTCGTAGAAAGTATACAAGGCTTGTTGTAGAAACTAGTAGAAGCAATACACCGTACAGTAAACTAAATATAACAATAAAATGAGGAAGTATATTACCAACGTATTAAACCCCAGCTAATACCTTGTAACCAGTTGTTATTAGGAGCACAATATGACTTAAATATTGGTTTTTGTTACACCAATATGTGTTAGGTATGCATATTATTTGTTCCACAACAATAACTGTCACAGCATATGAGGAAGAACAAAAACTTAAATTCTTGTTTAGATTATTGTAGTTAAAGAAGAAGTTTTGCCGTTTTCAGAATGAATTTGTATTGTTATTAGTATCGAAAGGTATTGTACAATGTCGTCAAGAAACGCTGTTATTTTACTTCCCTTTTCATAGCTAACTTTTATATTAGTTACATTTAAGAAGACACGTTAGAAGAATAGTTAAAAACACAACCCAACTAGAACAATATGAATATTACAAAACTAAAAGGTTTTTTAAGTACCAGTCGACTAACTTGTAGAACAATTGTTTTAGTTTGTACCAGGCGACCAACTGAAAGTACTTGTAATCAGGGCTTGGCGGCGACTTTTGGTCTGGATGCGGGGGTCGAAAAAATTGACAAAGGTGGCTCTGTGCGGATTTTTTGCAAAAATTTTTTCCAAAAATCCACAGGGACGTTCTACTTTTTTCAATTTTTTTATTGGTGTGGGGGGGAGGGATATGGGTCCCCCTCTAACCACTCACTAATTTTTAAAACTTATTTTTGTAATCGGTCGATTCTCCGTAAAAAACTGTACAAGTAGCGTCGGAGGGATTTCCCCTTCCCTCCCCTCACCCCCCCCTCTGCGGCGGGGAATTGTTTCGAAAATTGCGGGATTCCCAGCCTGCGGGGATGAAAAATCTAGCACAAGTTTTTATGTTACTAACCTTTGTATGGGTGTTATATTTGGTGTAACTGACCAACGGTAAAACGAGTTTAAAAATTGTTAAAAAAACGGAAATACAGACACCCCTTGTGTTTACACATAGTCAAGTATGGTTGTCAAAAAAAATTACTTCTATAAATACTTTTGTACATCTAGTACGTACTTTGGGTTCCCAAGAACATGAAGACGCGGAAGAGACTTGTGATACTTCTTAAAATTCGAAAACTTCTCAAAATTAAGTACTTGAAAACTTTGTAGGCAGCAAAATCGTCTCATAATATACGTTTCTTCGGTTTAGCACAGTATATATTGGACTGTTTAGGCCAGATACTATCAAAAATTTTGTTCTACTCACTTTTGATTCTAACATTAAGGTCCCCAATTTACTATAAGTCATGACAGATGCAGCTTTACCATGTAGTGATAGTTATCAACGATTGATCTATAACGGTTTCAACTATTGTGCTTGTTGTTCTTCAGTGCTGTTCAATTCCGTAGTGTTGGCATTGTGTTTTAAGCAAAGAGATTCGTTACGAATCTATGGAAACATGATAACATTGACGGCTAACTTCAATATTTTCCAAAGCTTGGCGGCCGTTTTTGTTAGCTTGGTAAGGCAGATATAAAAACAATAAAAATAAGTTTTTAGTTCGTAGGGCACGCGACAAGTTTTTGTATAAGTCCGTAGGGCACGCGCCAGTTTTATCGTAGGCTTCAGTAGGACGTTAAAGGCGTGTATAGGGTATACTGATTGGGGTAAGGTATCGTAGGCTTATGTAGGATATGATAAATTTGGGTAGGATGAGAGTAGGGTAGGGAAGATTGGGGCTGAGTTTAAAAAAAATCTCCTAGGAGATCCGTTATGTACGTTCATATATATAAACGTTTTACCGTAATATCATTTTTAGAAAGCCAAAATAATTGACGATTTTTATTTTTACTTTACTGACTCGCTACCTCTTCGATATGCTAACAAGACTGTGCATGAGCTAATAATTATACTGTATTTCACAATTATGTCATTAGCCACGTACCTACCAGTAATACAATTTTACATACGTTACCGTATTGTCAAGAATTATACGGTATCTCAGAAGCGGTTGTATCAAATATTTCTTGGGATTGCGATTGTTGACACACTTTCACTGACGTACATGTTAGATTATGGAGAATCGGCTGGTTTTAAGCATCTTGTCTTTGGCAACGTATCTGGATGCAATATTGACGATCCACATTTGCCTACATTTAGTTTATTTGACAGGGTAGGGTTGTAGGTTCAATTTATAATTAGGTAGTCAAGAAAATCGCCCCCACACTTGCGACCAGCTCTGACTGCAAGCTCTTTCGTCCTATGTAATTCTTCTTTATCATTGAAAAAAAGAATTGAAGCTTGTAACGTATCATACAGTACTATGACACAAACAGGGCATTTGCAGGGTAATGCAGGGCATAGGCCAAGCCCTGCCCTGTTCCAATGTATACCATGCCCTACCACGCCCTGTAAAAAAATTTTGAAACATGCCCTATACCATGCCCTACCATGCCCTGTGGTAGGGCATGGTACAGGGTACCCTGCCCTGCGTCCAACCCTGATAATACTTCTTACCAGTGACTCCCAAGCTTACTATATATTCTTTTAATTTTCAGGGGAAGAAGAGTCTTCAAACCCGTGAATTAATATCCAAATGTGGTTTACTGTTTAACGCGCTTTGTTTGATCTATTTTGGCATTGTAACGTGGAAGAATATGCGGAAGCAACTTGAGTTCCTCTCCACGAACACAAAACGCCTAATTGTCAACTTCAACTTGGTGTTGACATTACAAGTAGGTCGAAATACATATGTAACTTACAAGTAGCACGTACTCTTATAACATTTGTACTGTATGCCAATACATATAGTATACATACATATAGTCTGGCGTCTGAAGCCCACTCTTTGTAAATACGTTTGATATGTAGCTTATAAGTTGTGCTGGTGTAAGCGGATGCAACCAAAGAATATCTCGCACACCAACTTATTACCGCTGGCTTTGTAGTTTAAAGGATTTGTAAAGATAGAGGGGGGGGGGAGGGCAGAGTAGAGTGCAACACTTTTAAAATATGTCTTACAGTTGTTCATTTAGGCCCTTTTACCGCTGCTTTTCACAATTTTACCATCCGTCGTTTACTTGGCACATAACCAGCCTACATCGTGGAAGAAAGTCTCCGCAACAGTTGCTTTCGTAGGCTCAATAAGTAGCCCGACCTTGGACGCGTTGATAGTTTTATTTGTTATGCCATCTTTCCGACGACGAGTCGTTTCTTACTTTCCTATAAAGACAACTTCAAACGTCACGACGGTAGTGCATTTGGACTCGTTTCGAACAACGTTTTGAATACAAGTTTTCATATATATTATACAACTGTTAATTCTACAACTTTCAACTCTAACTGTTAAAGTAAAGGAGATTTTCTATAAAGGAAGGAGCGGTTAGCGCCTGGTCCGAATTTAATTGACAAACTGCTCCACCCTTTTAGAGCCCTAGCCCAAAGCCCTAGCCCAGAGCCCTAGCCCAGAGCCCTAGCCCAGAGCCCTAGCCCAGAGCCCTAGCCCAGAGCCCTAGCCCAGAGCCTTAGCACAGAGTCCTATCCCAGAGTCCAGCTCAGAGCCCTAGCCCAGAGCCCTAGCCCAGAGTCCTAGCCCGGAGTCATAGCCCAAAGCCCTAGCCCGGAGCCCAAGCCATAAGGCCCTATCTCGCACAGCCGTGTCCTGGCTAGCTTTTGTTTTTTAGCTTTAGATTAATATCTACAGTCTTTTAATTTTAACCCCAGTCCTTCATACTAGTTTCAAAACTACAGCCTAAGTGGCTGTCTTTTCTCTTACTTTAGCCCTAGTCCAAACTTAAGATCGCCAATAAAAAATAAAAGTTGAAATTTAAAAAAATTGTGCCCTACTCAAAATTTTGTTTACCAACTTTACTCTAGCACGGCCGTTAAAAAGTAGTGTTTTGAAAAGTAAATAACTCTTCTTTGGTCACTCGGAATTGAATTTATCATATACAGCAGCAAACAACAAACTTGGGTTTTGTTTTCCGCTCAAGCCTCCTCCAAATGACCATTCGGCCAAAACAAAAGCCAGCGGCCGTAAAAACGTCGTAAAAGTATTCCACGACAATTTAATATTAGCTTATTTTTATAAGGCGTTACGTTTTCTTTTGTTTAATTGGACTTGTTTGGATTAAACTTTGAAATAAAAAAATCAATGCTACGTAAACAAAATGTAAAAAAAATTAGAATTTAAGGTATGATGGAGAAAAATAAGGTATAATAAAGCACGATGAAATGCGTAGAGGCATAGTAAGGTCTGTTAAAGCGGGTAAGGTTTAGTAAAGTAAGTTATGATATGTTAAGACAAGGTAAGGTACTTAAGATAATAATAAAGAAGAGTAAGTTATTTTGAAGCAGAGTAAAGCATGTTAAGGCAAAGTAAGGTAGCAGGTAGGGTAGAGCAAGACCGGGTTCGAAAAGGCCGATTAACGTAGGCTAATCTTGTTTGACTAGTCGACCGTTGTCACCAGGTAAGTAAGTTTGGCCTGGTGCTCTAATAAAGCCAACTGGTCCTTGTTGACTTTCTTTGATCTTGGCTAGACCACGTGAGCATGGGGCTTCTGGAAGAATTAAAATTTTGATTAAATTATTTATCTTGTAGGGTAGGGTAGGTTAGGGTAGGTTAGGGTAGGTTAGGGTAGGTTAGGGTAGGGTAGGGTAGGGTAAGGTAGGGTAGAGTAGAGTTACGCTACACTTTTAAAACCTAAAGCTGCCTTTTTTGATGAGTAGGACGAAGTTTTTTCGGCCTGTCAATCAAATATGGAAAGCAAAATTGTTTTGAAAAAATTACGTTTTGTCTTGTATTACGACATCTTCTAATTAAAAATTTTTTTAGAGTGAAGATCGTTTTACTGTGACATTAAATAACTTTTTGTTTTGAGAAGCTAGGGCTGAGGCTAGGCTGAGGCTAGGGCTGAGGCTAGGGCTGAGGCTAGGGCTGAGGCTAGGGCTGAGGCTAGGGCTGAGGCTAGGGCTGAGGCTAGGGCTGAGGCTAGGGCTGAGGCTAGGGCTGAGGCTAGGGCTGAGGCTAGGGCTGAGGCTAGGGCTGAGGCTAGGGCTGAGGCTAGGGCTGAGGCTAGGGCTGAGGCTAGGGCTGAGGCTAGGGCTGAGGCTAGGGCTGAGGCTAGGGCTGAGGCTAGGCTGAGGCTAGGGCTGAGGCTAGGGCTGAGGCTAGGGCTGAGGCTAGGGCTGAGGCTAGGGCTGAGGCTAGGGCTGAGGCTAGGGCTGAGGCTAGGGCTGAGGCTAGGGCTGAGGCTAGGGCTGAGGCTAGGGCTGAGGCTAGGGCTGAGGCTAGGGCTGAGGCTAGGGCTGAGGCTAGGGCTGAGGCTAGGGCTGAGGCTAGGGCTGAGGCTAGGGCTGAGGCTAGGGCTGAGGCTAGGGCTGAGGCTAGGGCTGAGGCTAGAGCTGAGGCTAGGGCTGAGGCTAGGGTTGGGACTACAGATAAGACAAGGGCTGAGGTTAGGGCTTGAGCTAGAACTAAGGTTAAAGCTATTTTTAAGTAAGTAGCTACGTGCATAAGGCATGTATTGGGCCTATTTTACTGGCTTCTCAAATTTACTTTTACCGAATTTCAGGGCTTTTTGCTAAAGTTTCGGAGACTTAATTCCTTATTTATCGGTACAAATTTTAAAGTTTCTGTGTTTTAGTATCAAAACAGTTTACCTTTTGCAGTGCAGTGTAAGGTAGGGTAGAGTAAAGTAAGAAAGAGAAGGGGAAGGTATGGTTAATTACTGTAAGGCAGGTCTGGGCATGTTTTTATGAGTGTTTTGAAATTTAGGTTTACTTTTATTTAAAAACTGTAATTTAATAAATTATATAATTTTGTTTTCCTTAAATTTGGAAGATATATTATACCACATGCCATTTCTAAGCATAAAAACACAAAAAAAGCGCTTTCTTTAGATTATTATATATTATATTTGAAAGACGATACCAGGAAAATAACATTTGGTTTTGAACATGATTGATGGTAGCTTTTAGGATAAGGAAGTTAAAATTAGGATTTTAACTGGCACAAGTTAAAAATTTTTTCTATTGTTTATTTTTAAGCGTAAAGTTTACTTGGAAGTCTAAAAATTTATTTTTAAGCCTAAAATTCATTTTTAAGCTTAAAATTCTATTTTTAAGCCTAAAATTCTTTTTTAAACCCAAAATTCATTTTTAATCTTAAAATTCTATTTCTAAGCCTAAAATTCTTTTTTAAACCCAAAATTGATTTTAAAGTTTAAAATTCTATTTTTGAGCTTCAAATTTATGTTAAAGCCTAAAATCCATTTTTAAGCCTAAAGTTCATTTTTAAGCCTAAAACTTATTTGTAAGCAAAAATTTCTATTTTTAGACCTAAAATTAACTTTTATTGCCTTAAATTCATTTATATGCCAAAAATTCATTTTTTTTTAATTTTTTCATTTATATGCCAAAAATTCATTTAAAATTCGCTTTTTAAGCCTAAAATTAATTGTTAAGCCCAAAATACCATTTTCAAACCTAAACCTGATTTTTAACTTCAATATTTATTTTTAAGCCTAAGCTTCTATTTTTGATTTCTGCCATTCTTTTTTTACGTCCAAACGCAAATGTCTATATTATTTATTATAATGCCATTTCCAAACGTTAAGCAGCATAAAACCGTCAGCCGTACATAAATATTCTTTTGTATTAAACTCTTCAACTATAATTCCGTTCCTTTCACAACTACATATGCTTCGTTTGAATATAGCGCTTTATATTTAATTTTACCATGAAACGGGCAGACAAACACTTTTTGAAGTAAAAAATGGTTTTTGTTACCTAAAATACTTAGTTTAAAAATAGTGATCCTTTGTTGCTTTCTAAAAGTCATGTCGTTTTTAACTGTAAAAATAAGACTTTATTTTGGTTTTGTAGTAGCGGGTAGGATAGCGTAAGGCAAAGCAAAGCAAAAGAAAGGCACTAAACAAGGCACTAGGCAAGGCAAGGCAAGGCAAGGCAAGGCAAGGCAAGGCAAGGCAAGGCAAGGCAAGGCAAGGCAAGGCAAGGCAAGGCAAGACAAGGCAAGGCAAGGCAAGGCAAGGCAAGACAAGGCAAGGCAAGGCAAGGCAAGGCAAGGCAAGGCAAGGCAAGGCAAGGCAAGGCAAGGCAAGGCAAGGCAAGGCAAGGCAAGGCAAGGCAAGGCAAGGCAAGGCAAGGCAAGGCAAGGCAAGGCAAGGCAAGGCGAGGCAAGACAAAAACATTCATATCTTTTATCAAGTTTAAATTGCCATTTTTAATCCAAATTTGAGTTCAATTTTTTTCAAATTTGTTTTTAGCTAAATGCCAAAACCAATGCTTAAGCTGGGATTTTGCGTTTGTAACAAAAAATTTATTCAGTTTTGGTTGTTTTTCTCGGAAAATGGAACTAATTTATGCTTCATGACACATTTTGCTTTATATGATTTTTGAAACTTGAAAATATCTAAAATTTAAAGACTTCCGCTAAAAGAACGTGTTCAAGTTGTATAAAGGGGTTCTTCCCGATGTTTTTTTATTTTTGAGGGTGTTTTTTAAGAGTGACACTGAAATGATAAGGGTAGAATAAAGGCAAGGTAGACTACTAGCGTGAGACTTACATTGTTAGGTAACAGTTGGGCAGAGCAAGATATGATAAAGTTACTATAGGGCTAGGGCACGACACAAGTAGGGCAAAGGTTGGATAAGGGTTGGGCTAAGGTACGTCATAAGGAGGACAGGGGTAAGACAAGGGTAAGTTTAAGGTTAGGGCAAGGGTTTAACAAAATCAAGAAAAGAGTAGTAGGAAAAAAGAAGGGCAAGGAAAAATCAAAGGCTAGGGCAAGGCTAGAGCATTGTCAGAGCAAATCTAGGACAAGATTAGGGCAAGGGTAAGGAAAGGCTACAGCAAGGCTACGGCAAGGCTAGAGCAAGGCTGCAGCAAGGCTAGGGCAAGGCTACAGCAAGGCTACGGCAAGGCTAGAGCAAGGTTAGGGCAAGGATAGGACAAGGGTAGAACAAAGAGTAGAGCAAGAGTAGGGCAACCCGATCCCAAGGCTAAAGCAAGGCTAGGACAAGGATAGGGCAAGGGTAAGGCAAGGATAAAGCAAGGGTAAGACAAGATCAAGACAAGGGTAGGGGAAAGAGTAGAGACAAGAGTAAAGCAAGGTTAGGGCTGGGTATAGGTTGAGAAAGAAGCGTGAAAGTAAGCCAGAGTGTGGTAAAGTTCATATACGTAAAGTAAGGTATATTATTATTGTCATTTTTCTTCCAAGTTAGTGCAGAGACATGTTATTATATTTAGTATTCTCTCACTGTATGAAAATTCGTTTTTCGTTAGTGCGTGTAAAATAAAAGTGCAGTCTTTGGTCATTTTTTCGATATTTACTGCGTCTTTATATTATTATTGAGATAGTTAACCAAAAGTGGAAGTTTTTCTTTGGTGCTCGAGCAATTTTTAAGCTAAGTAAGATTTTTTTGCAAATAGTGATAAAAACTGTACTTAAAACTTAAGTTTTAGGCTTAAAAACGAGTTTTAGGTTTTGAAAATGATTTTTAAGCGTAAATAATGGATTTTAAACTTAAAAATTGCAATTTAGGCTTAAATTGTATTTTAGGTCTAAAATGAATTTTTGGCTTACAACAATCCTCAAACATGAATTGTAGGCTTACAACTTATGTTTAGGCTTAAAAATGAGTCTTAGGTTTAAAAATGATACTTTAGGCATAAAAATACACTTTTAGGCGTAAAATAAAAGTTTTAGGCTTAAAGTAACTTTTAGGTTAAAAAATAAAACTTAGGCTCAAAAATAACTTTTTAGGCTTAAATATACGCTTTTCGACCTATAATAAAGGTTTTAAGCTTAAAATTGACTTTTGGACTTAAAAAATAAAGATGAGACTTAACTAAATTTTTAGGCTTAATAATGAAATTTTAGGCTTAATAATCAAGTTTTAGGCTTAGTAATAAAATGTAAACTTAAAAATGAGTCTTAGGTTCAAAAAATAAATTTTAAGCTTTAAAGTTAACTTTAAACATTATTTTTTTTAAAAAACCTTTTTGAACCAATAATTGAACAATTTAAATTTGCAATTTCGAAATGTTTACTATGTTACCCAAACATTTGTTTCACGTTATGTTCACACCCACTTGTTAACCACAATAAATCCTTTGTGCAAAATAATGTTTTAATGGCCGAACGTAGTTTTACATCTTCATAGTTACATGGTTTTCGAAACTTGTCTTGAGTTTTGAAGCTTTAAGGGTTTTGAAATAGCTTTTTATATCTTTGAGAAAAATTTGTTATAGTTTTCGAAATTTACCTTGCTGCCACTTGTGTACCTTGTTTTTTATAGGTGTTATAGGTATGTTGAGTATGAATCGTATATTGTTTATTACTCTATATACTGAATAGTACGTCGTACGCCGACCCTAAGGCTTATCTTAACTTATATGTATGGTCTATACTATTGTAAGGTTAGCCTGCCCTGAGACATAGCCTAGTGTAGAGGCTCGCCTACTCTCAGGCTTAGCCTACGCTAGAGCTTAGCCGACTTATATAGGCTATCTTACTCTAGAGTTCAGCTTATCTTTGTACCTAACCTACTTTATAGCTTTTAGGGCTTAGCTCATCCTAAGGCCGAAGCTCACGTTAGGAGATAGCCTACCGTAGGATTAAGATTACCTTTGGGCATAGCCAGCTTTAGCGCCTACTTTGTTCTTGAGCCTTGTCTACTTCAGAGCCTAGTTTATGTTAGGTTTCAACCTGTCTGTACGGCCTACATTATTCTAGCATACTTTAGAGGTAAACTACTTGTATGGTTTAACTTATATCAAAACCTATTATAAACTTTGGTTTTAGTCTCTTCTATGGCCTGTTTAGTATATATATTTATATATAAATTAGTGTGTCCTATGTTGTTTTCTCACTTTTTTGGTAGGTCCGGAGTTGCACAAACAAACACAGTGTTAAATTACGCTTTTGAGTAATCAAATCTCAATGCCTTTTTTAGCTATAACACTTTAAAATTGTTTTTTCTTTAGTTTTAGGTTTAACGCCTGCTTGAGTTAGAGCCTGAGCTAGAGTTTAAACTTGAACTTGAGCTTGAGCCTGAGCCTAGCCTTTAGACAAGGTTTGAGTTTAAGCTTGAGCTTACCATGAGAATAACCCTTAGTCCGAGTCTAAGCCTGAGCAAGAGCTTGCGCCTAAGCCTGAGCCTAAGCCCGAGCCTAAGCCTGAGCCTGAGCCTGAGCCTGAGCCTGAGCCTGAGCCTGAGCCTGAGCCTGAACCTGAGCCTGAGCCTGAGCCTGAGCCTGAGCCTGAGCCTGAGCCTGAGCCTGAGCCTGAGCCTGAGCCTAAGCCTAAGCCTGAGCCTGAGCCTGAGCCTGAGCCTGAGCCTGAGCCTGAGCCTGAGCCTGAGCCCGAGCCTAAGCCTGAGCCTGAGCCTGAGGTGAGCCTGTGCTTGAGGTTGAACCTGAACTTGAACCTGAGTCTGAATGAAACCTTAAGCTTGACCTTGTCCTTCAGCCTTAGCCTAACCTTAAAACTTAGCCTCAGATTTATCATCAGCCATATCCCTTGCGTCTTAAAGAACAGTCAAACTAAACTAACTGCAAGTTGTTTTTGCAAGCAGCAAGATGACCTTTTGTAGCCAATTTGCACGGCCAAATGACCATATTTAATGCCGACTTTATTCTTTTTTGCTCACCAGGATTACATTTTACTTTCTGGCACTAACCGACACCTTCTTCTTTCTGGCCTCTCTAATGTGCTTCTTCCTTTTCGCCGATTTCCTTTGGCGCAAAACTTTAATGGACAGTGGCTAGCTGAATAGATGTTGGCTAAAGTTTGGTCTTTTGAATATTATAGATTAGGGTAGAGGCGTGTAGGGTAGCATAAGGTAGGGTAGGGTAGGGTAGGGTAGGGTAGGGTAGGGTAGGGTAAGGTAGGGTAGAGTAGGGTAGGGTAGGGTAGGGTAGGGTAAGGTAGGGTAGGGTAGGGTAGGGTAGGGTAGGGTAGGATAGGGAAGGGTAAGGTAGGGTAAAGTGAGGTAAGATTTCTTCAAAAGCTTTGCTAAAACACTTCTTTCAAAAAAAATTTTTGGGCGTGGTAATTTTTTTAACTATTTTTTAGGGGTGGATTTTTCAATTTTTTAAACTTTAATTTACTTAAAAAATAAATAAATACTAAAAAATTTTGGGCGTGGTAATTTTTTTAAATATTTTTTTTGGGGGTGGATATTTTAAATGTTTTGCTAAACTTCAACTCACATTAAAAAATGAAAAAATAATAAAAAAATCGGGCGGGATACTATTTTGAACCCAAGACTAAAAGAAACGGAATCAATGCAAATTCATTTTCATTTTAGGATATAGGATTATGGAAGGAAACAGAAAAGTGTAATCAAGTTTTGGTCCGTGACTTTTACTTTTTTTAGTATCGGGTTTTAGGGGGTTGTGTGAATTTGTAAACTAGCCTTGTTTGGAAACATTCAACTTTTTTAAAAAAACAAGATTTATTCCAAATTAAAGCCTAGTTTAGTTTATGTCTTAATCTGCCGTAGCGTATCTTAGAACCTGTTATATCTTAGGCCTTAGCTTACTCTAGGTTCTGTTGAGCCTGATCTATCCTATGGACTGGTCTATCCTAAGGCCTAGTCTATCCTAGGGCCTGGTCAATCCTAGGGCTTAGCCTACCTTAGAGCTTGGTCTATCCTAAGGCCTGGTCTATCCTAGGACCTGGTTTATTCTAGAGCCTGGCCTACCCTACGGCCTGGCCAATCTTAGGGCCTAGTTTACTTTAGGGTCTATCCTACCCTAAAGCTTAGTCTACTTTAGGGCCTAGTCTACCTTAAAGCCTATCCTACCTTAAAGGTTAACCTGATCTAGGTCCAAGCTTACCTTAGGGCCTGGCCTATCCTAGGGGCAAGCTTACCTTAGGGCTTAGCCTGCCCTAGGTCATAGCCTACTATGAATCCTAATCTACTCCACAGCTTAGTTGCCTGCATATTCTGGTTTAACTTATCTAACAGCCTATCCTACTCTATAGCCTACTCTATTTTGGGGTTTATCTTGGCCTACTATATTGTTTAGCCCGCCCTGTGGACCTCAAAGTTTGATCTACCTTTGGGCTTAGCCTTAATGCTTAGTCTATCCTAAAGATTAGTTCGGCCTACTTTATTGTAGCACATAGCCTTCAGGCTTCTGGGGCCTAGTTTGCTTTTCAGCTTACCGCGTACATGATTTTACTTTAAAGTAAAGCTTAACTATAAGGCTTACAATAGCTCTAATACCTTTGCTTTATTTTTACCATCTCCGTAGCCTAGCCTCAACCTACCCAAAATAATTTTCCTTTTTAAAATTTCTGACGCATCAATTTTAAAAGACGATTTCAATTAACACGTACTATAATATGCACGTAGCGTCGGCTTAACCGGCCCTTCCAGAAAAATCTTTAACCTATTTTTAAGTCGAATTTGAACAAATTATCCTTTCCATCAAATGGGATGTCAACGGAAACAAAACAGGACGGGCACGGCTGGTTTTCGGTTTTTCTATTCAATTTTAATTTGCTTACTTTATTAGGAATCGGCATGACTTCGCATGGTACTACGAGTTGGGTTGGTATAAATATGAGAGTACAGTGTTTATGTTTGCTTATGATTTTGTTGGGCGGTGGTTTTTAATGTGTGAGTACTGTATTAGGAGGGATGTATGAGGTAGGGCTGCCCAAGGGGGAAGGAAGATTTATGTGGTATAAAGCTGGTCACAGCGGCTGGTGTTTTAAATTCAATATTAAGGGTATGTTTAAGTACTGTGAAGCATGGTAGGGTATTGTAAAACGTGAGTGTTTGAGTGGAGTTACGGTGTAGTGAGTTGGAGTAAAGTCGAATAAAGTACGGTAGAGTAGGGCGGATTGTAGTGGAAAAGGGTAAGTTATGGTATGATAAAGCAGGGTAAGGTACAATACGGTAAGGTAGGGCAAGATAGAATATCATGTAGAAGTATACAATAGAGTAAGGTAGGGTATGATAAAATAGAATAGGTTATGATAGAGTGTGGTATGGGTAGGGTAGAGTAAAGTACTGTAGAATATCGTGTATTACAGTAAACCAGGGCAGGGTAGGGTACGGAGGAGTAGAGCAAAGTAAGCAAAATATAGCATAATATGATAGAGTAAGATACGAGTAAATAACGGGCCGGACTGGGCTCACTTTTAAAAATTCCCGCAAGCCGGGCTAGCTTTTCAAGCTTAGCTTAAAGGTCAGACTCAATATTTAAGCCCGGCCCGTGTTACTTTACCTTAGACTAGCCCATACCAATTTTTTACGTGCAACCGGGCCAGGCTTTTTGGGCTGGACCTTAATTCTCAGGCCCAGCTTGACCAAAATTTAGCTCAAGGAAGGCGTGTTTTTTACCTCAAAGTATAGTAAAGCAATGTGGGTAGTACGAGACATGGTAAAATAAAAATAGAGTAAGGTAGGGTAGGTAACATTATTTTTTGCCTTTTGTTACCCAAAAATTATTTTTGAACTTTTCACGTCCACGAAAATGTGTTCATATTAAACACGCCGCCACTAACATTGCATGACAGATTACAATCATATGTTGAAAACAAATTTCTTGGCATTTCCAAGTTCTGTCTCAAAGTTTAGAAAATTAGTTTTGGGTTTCACAAGGCGTTTAGTTTATTTTTACATTTTTTTGGCTACCCTACCCTACCCTACGGAAAAAAACTTCTACTCAACAGGGGCGGGGGGGGGGACCACGTTCATTTTTATTGAAAAAAAAATTTTTTTACGATGACGATAACTACGCTTCGTGCTTTCAAAACATGTTCAATGTCATGCTGAATTTTAAATTTTTACATTTCAGAAATGGCTTCTCGACGAGTTTCATTACCAGCATTGCGCAATTACTCACCGAATCGACTTTCGCCGCGGTTCTTCGGCTATTTGAAGGATATCAGTGAATTCGAAATCGAACCACCGTTTGCTTCACCAACTTCTAGTAGCAGGTAGGCTGAATTTGAAGTCTAAAAAATAGTTAAAAAATGATAAAATTGTCCTAGTTCTAGTTTAGAGCCTAGCTCAGATCCAACAGTTAGGGCTTTGGGCTAGGGCTCTGGGCTAGGGCTCTGGGCTAGGGCTCTGGGCTAGGGCTCTGGGCTAGAGCTCTGGGCTAGGGCTCTGGGCTAGGGCTCTGGGCTAGGGCTCTGGGCTGATCTGGATTAGGCCTCTGGGATAGGGCTCTGGACTAGGGCTTTGGGCTTGGGCTCTGGACTAAGGCTTTGGGCTTGGGCTCTGGGGCTAGGGTTCTGGGCTATGGTTCTAGACTAAGACTCTGGGTCCCACCCTTGTCTTAAACTTTAACCTATCCTTGCTCTTGCCTCTATTCTTGTTTCTATCCTTCTCTTACTTCTATCCTTACATAAATTACCTCCTATTTCATAATTTTTCATTTTTTCTACTGTACTTATCTTAAGCTGTCAAAAGAAGACCGATTTACAAAAAATTTTTTCGACTTTTGATTTTTATACTAAAAAACCAAAAAAAATGAAAGTTATTAACCATTCAAATGTAGAATGAAAACATCAAACTGAATATGCATTCATTTCGTCGGGGGTTACATTAACATAGTCATGTTCTTTTGATTCAAAAATTTAATTAACACTTTTTCCGTTCCCAGTTTCTTCCTTGTTTGTGGACTTTGCTTTTGGTTGTAATTGGACTGACTTTGGAGGGGTGTTTTAACTAGTTTCAAATGTTGTGAAATTTTAAGCTTAAAAATGATTTTAGACTTAAAATGAGTTCTGTGCTTAATACGAAAGATGCGTTCTAGGCTTAAAAATGAAATTTAGGCTTTAAATTGACATTTTAATTTTAAAAAGAATTTTTCAGGCTCAAACCTGGGTGTTAGGCTTAAAAATAACTTTTAGGCTTAAAGCTGATATTTTAAGATTAAAAGTTAAATTATACGCTTAGATATGAAATTTTAGGCTTAAAAATAGTTTTAGGTTTATAACTTACTTTTCGACTATAATGTGAAATTTAAGCTTAATAATGAAATTTTAGGCTTAAAAAAAGAATTTTAGGCTTAGAAACGAAAACGCGTTATGGCCTGGAGAAAAACTCGTTAGACAAACCTTTTTGCAAAGTCATATCTGTAAACCTTTGTACTTCTAAATTTTAAAAAATCAGCTTATACTCATTCTTCATTCTCTTAAACATTCATTTTTACAATTTTTTATAATACACCTTAACTTTTTATCTTTGTATACGTTTGCTTTTATACCTGGTTTTACAATTTACCTTTAACATAATCTTATTATATTTTAAATTAAAGTAATGTCATTACGTCTGCAAAAAAGCAGACAAAAAATATTTTTGAAAATATTGTCTATATACAAATTGGTTTCTAACACGTAAGTTTTTAGTGCAAGGCTGGCAACAAGCTTACATTAATAGTACAATATATTACTTGCTAGGCTGAACTTTAAAGATGTTTTTCAAATTGTAGTAGAGTATGGTGGTGCTTGGTAGATAGCGTCGTGGGCAAAGGTTTTCG